GTGGTTGCGTGGCTACCCCCCCCCCCCGGGGGGGTGATTTCTCACTTTCTGTCTCTCTGGCGAGCACAAGTGCCCTATAGGAAGAAATCTAAAAACAAACAAACAAACAAAAAACTCTTTCAAAAGAAATAGAAGGTCAATAGTACCCTAGAGACCTTCCTCATGTGCCTTCACACTCACTAAGGCCATTTCCCAAGGGTAAACTCTATCTTGGTTTCTGACATAAAAGAATTTTCGTCCCTTTTCAAACTTTATGTATAAATTGGAATCATTCAGTACCTTCTCATTTGTGACTGCCTTCTTTCATTCAACATTGTTATTTTGAGAGCTGTTTGTGTTAAGGTTTGTAACTTCAGTTCATTCATTCTCATTGCTGTGTAGTATCCCATTGTGAACACACGGTTGTTGTTCATTGGACTGTTGAGAAATTTAGGTTATTTCTGGTTTCGGCTATTATGTGTAATGCCGATGTATACATTTCAGTATTTGTTTTGGTGACCATAATTATACATTTCTGATGGATATATACCTAAAAGTGAAATTGTTGGGTCCTGAGGTGTTGATGTTTCATATATTTTGCTGTCTATTTTATCTTTTAAATTTTGTTAAAAAATGATTTTATTTAGCTGTATTTACTTATTATTTTAATTTGACCTGAGAGGGACAGAGAGAGAGTGAGAGCGAAAGAGAGGGAGAGAGAAGGAAAGTGAGACAGCAAACTGCCAGGTCCGGGACTTGAACTGTGGTTAGTCATATGGGAGTCCAGTGCCCTTAACCACCATGCCACCTGCTGGCCCCTATGCTTTAAACTTTTAGAGTGTAAATTAAGTAATTAGATCCTCTAGCCTTATGAATATTTAAAATCCTTTTATAGGAAGAGATCTTGAAATACTGTGTTTATTACTATCTAATGAAAAAGTAGATCAGGCCATCAGATGGCGTGGAGTTTAAGGTGACCCACATGGCCATCTTTGAGGTTCCAGGTCCAGACCCAGCAGCTTTAAAATCACACCGTGTCTGTGTGCATGTCCAAAATTCTTATAGGAGAATAGAGGAGAAGGGATTATGGCATGGCCAGCCCCACCGGGTGGGAGGGTGATTTATCACTTTCTCACTTTCTCTCCAGTGAGTGCATGTGATCTATAGCAAAAAGAAAGAAAGAAAAAAAAAACACAACATGGATCTGGTTTTAATTGTCAAGGTGATGAAAATAGTCAATAGTCATTTATTTTTAGAGTATAATTTTCCAAGATGGGAGGAAGAAAGTCACCTCCTTATTCATAGGGATTTCCTAGGAGCTTTCCTGGTTAGGTGAGATCCAGATTGTGTCTTTGGAGGAAGTTCTGTGATGGCTCACTTTGAAAAAAAAAGTTTGGGGACCAGCAGTTGGTGTAATGGCTATGTTGCTGGACTCCTCTATAGTCAACTGCGGTTTGAGTCCTGGACCCGGTGGCTTAAACTCATGCCGGGCACATGTGCATGCGTGTCCAAGATCCCGAGAGGAGAATGGAGAAGGGATTGTGGCGTGGCCATCCCCCCTCGGGGGTGATTTCTCGTTTTCTGTCTCTCTGTCTCTCTCTGTCTTTCTGGCCAACTGCATGCGCCCTATAGCAAAAACCTCTCCCCCCCAAAAAAAAGTTTGAAAAACTGATACAATGAAAGGTAATTCTAATTACACGTGGGAACTTTTTATGTTATCTTTTGATATCTTTGGAACCTTAAAATGTTCCTTAATTGATACAAATTTTATGTCCATTACTTTTTCTTCAGCAAGAATCGATAAATGACCAATAAATGTTATCTGACAATAAAACGATTTTGAAAAGAAAGCCTGATTAAAAATTCAATGTTCTAACTTTCTATCTGAATAAAACATAATTATTTTGCCACATGAGTACCTAAATATGTTATCATTTTATGAAAGAATGAAAATACAATAAAATACAATAACATTATAAAACAGACTTAGAATGAAATCTAAGTAAAATATGACAAGATAATGGACAAAGATAACAGTATGTTAATACATGCAAAATTAAAAATTTAACAAATTAGTGGCCTTCAGTAAGATTTAGGTGAGTGGAATAAATTACATTAATATTATGAAAAATTAACTGGATACATGCAAGGAAGGAGATACGACATTGGGGTAAACTAAGCTTCTTGGAGGAAAATAGTTTTTCAAGCATTTCTTTTTTTAAAGAGAGATTTTTGCTATAGGGTGTGTGTGCTTATCAAAGACACAGAGAAAGAAAGACAGAAATTGAGAAATCACACCCCCCAACCCCGAGGGGTGGGGGAGGATGGCCACATCGCAATCCCTTTTCCTCTGTTCTCCTCTCAGGATTCTGGGCATGGGCATATACATGCCCGACATGAGTCTTGAGCCCTGGTGAGGACTCAAACCATGATCAGCCATGTGGAAGTCCAGCACCACCACCAATACATCATCTTCTGGACCCTCAGGCATTTCTTAAGGGAAAGTATGATTTATGGGGACAATTTGTATAATAAACATTTCAACTGGAAGGTACAGTAAGGGTGAAAAGTTAGAGCTAAAAACGTAAAGGCTTTGAGTGGAGAATTATAATAGCTTCTTTGGTACCCACATATAATTGATGAGAGAAGTTGAGGGAGAAAAATGGGAAGATTATGTAAGGGTTTTAGAAGTGATAACAGTATAGGGACCAGCAGCTGGTGTAATGGCTTCGATGCTGGACTCTCATGTAGTTGACTGCAGTTTGAGTCCCGGACTCAACAACTTAAACTCACACCGGGTGCATGTGCGTACGTGCCCAAGTTTCCAAGAGGAGAATGGAGGAGAAGGGATTGTGACATGGCCATCCCCCCTGGGGGGGGGGGGATTTCTCGTTTTCTGTCTCTCTGTCTCTGCCTTTCTGGCAAGTGCACGTGCCCTATAGCAAAAACCTCTCAAAAAAAAAAAAAAAAGTGGTAACAGTATGAAATTAGTCTACAGCCCACAGGGAGTCATTGGTCATTTCTGAGAATAATTTTATCAGAGCCATGCCTAAGGACTAGACTTTAGTATAAAGTCAAGTACATTGGAAGGTAGGGTTGGATGAGAAAGTTTCTAATTAGTTTCTCCTCATTTTTAAGCTTGTTGCCATATGTATTGCACCCTCTTGTGGCCAAGGCGTGCATCTCAAGCAAAGTTAACATGGTCACTGCAAGCTACATCACACCAGCGCTCAAAGAATTGGAAAAGAGGTAAATTTTAATCATTTTCAAGGTAAGTGGCTCCATGGTGTTGCATTTATTGTATATTCAGCTTTTCATTTTTTCTCTTTCCATCTGCTGCAGTGTGGAAGATGCTGGCATCACGGTCATTGGCGAACTGGGTTTGGACCCTGGTCTTGACCACATGTTGGCAATGGAAACCATAGATAAAGCCAAAGAAGTGGGAGCCAAGGTGAGCCCAGTTTAACCCAAAGATCCCTTAGGAGAAACATTAAAAAGTCTAGCTTCTTGTGTGCAGAAATAATCTTTTGGGATTTTTGATTAAAGGTGCTGCTATGTTATAATTAATATTTTTCCTAGAAATTTAAAACAACATTTTAAGATGGTACAGTAAAACCATATTTAAGTTTTTAGGTAGCAATGAATTTTTAGGAAAATAGAAACTATACTAATATTTTGGTTGAATCAAGATTTTAGATTGCCCTGGAGAGGTAATAAGGTTTGATTTTAAAAGTGGTAAAAATATTTGGAGTATTTTTAGAAATATTTAAAATATTTTTAGAAATAATTAAAAAATATTTAGTCTGTTGTGCATGAAATATTTTTTCCACATTAGTCTGTTGTACATGAAATAGTTTTGCACATGACAAGATACTGTTCGATATGAAAAGGGGATGATTCAGATAAAATGATTTAGCTTTTTGACTGTATAGATAAAATCAATGACATTGTTTTTATTTATTTATTTTTGCGATAGGAAGTTCATGTGTACTTGTGATCCAGAGAGAGCGGTAACCTTGACAGGGTCTTGTCATGCGCCAATCCTTCTTCCCCACCTCCCCTGCTTCTCAGGATCCTGGGTGCCCACTCTTTAGAGGGTTTAAAAAAGTTATATCTGGGGCCAGCAGGTGGCACGGTGGTTAAGGCACTGGACTCCCACATGGCTGACTGTGGTTTGATCCCTGGACCCAGTGGCTTGAAACTCATGCCAGACACGTATATGTTCATGCCCAAAATCCTGAGAAGAGAATGGAGGAAAAGGGATTGTGCCATGGCCATCCCCTCTGTGGGGTGATTTCTCATTTTCTCTTTGTCTCCCCAGCAGGCGTACATGCCCTATAGCAAAAATGTCTCTCTCTCAAAAAAAAAAAGTTACCTGTGTATATGTGTGTGTGTGTGTGTATATGTGTGTGTGTGTGTGTATGTATCTATGTATATATGCCTTTATGGCAGAAAAGGCAAGACATTGGAATAAATAACTATACTCCAGTGGGAGAAGTCCAAAGTATGCTAAAATGTCACAGAAATAATACAACTGTGACTTAGTCAAATGGCGTTAGCTTGAAGGATACATTTTTGAAAGCCTTGATATCTTGAAGAAAGAAGCAACTGTAGCAAGTTTGCTCCATTCATGTCTTCTCAATTACTTAGATACATTATTCTCCCAGACTAATTGTTGATTCTTCCTAACTTCTTGATTCTTTAATTTACAGATTGAATCTTACATTTCCTACTGTGGTGGGCTTCCAGCCCCTGAACATTCAGACAATCCTTTGAGATATAAATTTAGCTGGAGTCCCCTGGGAGTGTTGATGAACATCATGCAGCCGGCCACCTATCTGCTCAATGGAGAGGTGAAGGATTATCATGGAAGCTGTAGAGATAACAAACCCGCAATGAACATCTAAGCAAGTCTGGGCTCTTTCTCTCTGAAACCAGGGCCCTTTAGTAATTAATGGCTTTGCTGCCCATCCCCCTTACCTTCTTCTGTAGGTGCTCTCCTCTGTGTGGCCTCCTCTCTGGTAGCAGCAAAGCCTATGCTTACTCTTCTCTCTCTGACTTCTTGAAAGTTGCTTTTGCAATTTGAAAATTCTTTTCTCAAGTTTTCTATATACATTAATACTCTTCACGCTTATGTCAGTAAGATAGATATTTACTGAATAGCTACAAAATTATACTATGTGCTGAACTTTGGGCAAGGCACCAAAGACTTGCAGGGGATGAAGTTCCTGCCCGTAAAGAATTCACAGCTACACAGGTACTGGTCTTGGAATGCGGCATTTCGTGGGTGAAGGCAAGAAGCTAAGATGTCTTCCCTAGCTGCTGCGTAGCAGGCCATAAGATCTTTCTGAGGTTAGCATTACTTTCATCTTTTTATAATAGGATACTCTGGCTCTGAGAGAATGTCAAAGGCCATTTGGCAGGGATTTGAACCCAGGCCTAATTAACTCCAAAGCCTTATCTTTCCCCTTTGGCCAGATTGTTTTATAGCAAAAAAGAGAGACACTGGAGTAAATAGCTATAATCCAGTGGGAGAAGTTCCAAAGTATGCTAAAGTGTCACAGAAATATGGATGAGATGGCAATTGATTTGACCTTGGTGAAGAGGTTGTTGGGGTAGGGAATGGGGGCTGGGAAGGGAGGGAGCAGGACAAGCCGTGAGGAGGATGTGCTTGGCTTTGACGGGTAAGAAGGACCTAGCCCAGTGGTGATGCTACTCTGCATGATATCGCAGACTTTCTAGGGAGAAAGCAGGCGTTGGGGGCGTGGATAACTGGATAACTGAACCCAAAGTTCAAGAGATTGCAAGTGGCAGAGACGGTGGGGAATCACATCTGTCTGACTTCATAACTTATATTCTTTTCTTTTTTTTTGGAACGGTTTTTGCTATAGGGCGTGTGCGCTTGCCAGACAGACAGAAACAGAGAGACAGAAAGCGAGAAATCACCCCCCAGGGGGGATGGCCACACCGCAATCCCTTCTCCTCCATTCTCTTATCGGGATCATGGGCACACACACACACGCGCGCCCGGCGTAAGTTTTAAGCCGCGGGTGCCGGGACTCGAACCGTGATCGACTATGTGGGAGTCCAGCGACATAGCCATTACACTAACTGCTGGTTCCCATAGCTTATATTCTTAAAGAGCATCAAGGAAGACTCCTATTTGGGGGAAAACATGACAAAATCGGCAGTACTCTGAATCGTGTGTTCTGGCCACCTCACTTGGCCGGCACACAGGGATGCGATCTGATCAGATGTGTCTTGAAAAGATGGTTCTGACAACAGTATTGTCAATTCTTAATGTATCTGTGGATCTCAATGTATTCGGGGAGTTAAATAACAGAATTTGTTAAGGAACAAGGTGAATGATGTCATCAGCCACTGTCTTTTGTGCCTATCATGGAGGGCAGACGTATCGACATGGCTGTACATTAGAACCGTCAGGAGAGTTTAAAAAGGTCTCATATTTTCTAATCGGCCCCATGCCCATAGGTTCTGATTTCATCCGGGTTCACGATTTTGAAGATCTGCCCAAGGGATTCTGCTGTACAGCTGAGTTGGAGAACAGCTGGTTTAATGAGCAGAACAACACTTAAACTAAGGCTCAGGAACGGGACCCTTGAGTTCTGGTCTGAGCACTGACCTCCCTCCCTGAGTCACTAAAAACTGGACAGTTGTCAAAGCCCACTGCTCTCGCCTCGCCATGTGTAACACGAGGGGTGATGTTTCATCCAGGGCTCCAATTCTGTGAATCATGTCTGATGTTCTCCAAGTCACAGCCTGTCTCCTCTTGTATTTCAACGGCTCCTTCCCCCTTCTCGATCTTGCAGAAGAGACTAGCCTGCGTTTGGAATTAACAAACATGTTAAAGCAGGAAACATTCTTGATTCCGCTGGACAAACATTTATTTTCAGAAGGTCATGTGTATGATACAGATGATAACAGTGAAGGGTGAGCAGAATGCAAGCCATGCGACAAAAAGAATAAGGGACTGTCTACGAGTGGGCTGGCTTTGTACTGTGGCTCTGCTCTGTCATTGCTGGTGGGGCGAATCGTGGATTCCTTGCATGAGATAGAGACAGTAAAACCAGCCTTACAACTGCTTGCAGTATGGCTCAGGGAGGGCCTCTAGATTACAATGTCCCTAACTGCAGATGGTCAGGCATGACAGAAGTCTCTAGTAAATACTGGTCACATAAAGAATGGCCATGGGAGCTCAGGAAAAACAGCAGGCTATGTTCAGGCAGCAGAAGTTGTATTTGTTGAATCTAAAGGTGCCCCTTTCATCCTGACCTCCTCTTGTAAAGAGAAATACTTTTTGCATCTTCCCGACAGAATGAAGCTGAAAAGAAAACATAATGCTTTTCTCTTTCTCTGTCTCTTTTTTCTTTCTCCTTCTTTCTTTCTTTGCTTCCTTCCTTCCTTCCTTCCCTCCCTCCTTTTTCTTTCTTCTTTTTCTCTCTCTCCCTTCCTTCTCTTTTTTCTTTCTTTTTTTCTCTCTTTCTCTTTCATGTTTCTTTCTTTTCTTCTTTCTCTTTTCCTTTTCTTTCTCTTTCTAAAATAGCCCCTTTGCATGGTCCTATTCATGTTTCCTCAGTGGAAGAAGATTTTTCCTGACCACTCCAGCCCCCATTTCAGTATTATTTCATCTAAATGTAATCAAAGGGTCAGACTTTCATTCTTTGTGTCTAGGAATTTTCCAGGTGCTGTATTATTCACTCAGTAATTCAAGTGCATCACACTGTCTCTAAGCGGTATTGTTAAACTTCTTAAAACCTCTCTTGTATTCTTGACCTTCCACTACCTCTGTCACCATCAGTTTTTGCCATGGAATAGCCTCAAATAATTCATAGACTCATAATGGGGAAGCTGAGTGACCTCTCTGACTTCTACTTAAAGTTGAAGCTCTGAACTTTTCCAGCAATGAAATAGTGGCTTATGAAATAAGATAGCTCATTGTCCTATATCCTTGCAGAAATTTCCAGCCACCAGCCATATTTTCAGCTTCTTATATAATTCCTAACAAATCTAATTTCCTCCCACATGTTTGGAGACTATGGTTTTGTCTTCTTTTAGTTTCTTGCCCTTCCCAACCAGTGGTTTCTTAGATGGTCTTCTGTTGCTATCACAGAATACCAGAGACAGATAATTTTTTTTTTTTGAGAGGTTTTTGCTATAGGGTGCGTGCACTCACCAGAAAGACAAAGACAGACAGACAGAAAGTGAGAAATCACCACCCCCACCACCCCATAGGGGATGGCCATGCCATAATCCCTTCTCCTCCATTCTCCTCTCAAGATCTCAGGCACACACACACATGTGCCTGACATGAGTTTAAGCCACCGGGTCCGGGACTCGAACCATGGTTGACTACATGGGAGTCCAGCGACATAGCCATTACACTAACTCCTGGTCCCCACAGACAGATAATTTATGAAGAAAGAAAATGCATTACTTACAGTCCTAGAGACAGGGACATCTACAGGCGTGGCCCTGGCGTGTGCTCAGCATCTGGCGAGGGCCTTCTTGCTGTGTGATAACACAAGGCAGCACGTGGTAAGACGGCAAGAGAGGGCACGTGGAAGAACTGCGTGAGCGCACCACGCCTGCTTCCACAGCAAGCTGCTTATGCTAGAACAACTCCTCAGGGAACGGATTCACTCCGATAGAACTGCAGCCTCACCCTCTTAACCCGTTCCTAAGAGTGGAGGGATAAAGTGTCTGATGCATGAACTTTTGGGAGAACATTCGAACCATTGCAGGTGGAATGTTATCCTTCATTGGTGACAAGGCAGAGCGTTGCCATCAACCCTCTCCTCCAATCACCTCTCCCCATCTACCCCAGCTAAGCATATCCTCTAAGTAAGCACTTTGCTGGCTCAGTAAGCATGGCTTCAAGAGAAATTGCCTAGCCCTCTTTCCATTGTCTGCTGTCACCCTGACAGCAGCACCCAGCCTTTTCTTTGCAGGAAATCCAGAGCTGCCCCTGCTCTCCTTTGCCTGCAGTCATTGTGAATGCAGTCCTCAGATGCTTCACTGGTGGCAAAATCTGGAATGCTGTCATATCCCTTTCAAAATACGGATTCAGAGAGAAGTACAATGAAGAAGACAGAGTGGTGTAGTAGAAAGAACGTGGGCATTGGAGTCAGATAGACTTAGATTGAAAACTGGCTCTGAGTGGCTCTCAGTCTCAGTACCCATCTCTGAAAAATGGTTTATGACATGGGTTTAAGGTAAAGACACGCAGCTAGCCCTCAGTTACTGATGGTGTGTTTCCTGTGCTAATGTTCTCATCGGTTTAGTGAGCAAGCTTATTGTGATTCTTTGAATGTTTGTTCTGAAACTTGATAGTGATTGTCAATGGTTGGGAGACCGATATATAAACATGTCTTTCTGTCTTCATCCAAATCATTAAGAAAAGAGTAAATGCCACAGTATTTATTGTTGAGCCCCATAGTATGTCATTAGAAATCCAACCTGAACTTAGATCAAATGATGATTGTCCAGTAATTGTTGGATCAGCATTCTTAGCCAACTGTCATTCTCTATGAATCCTGACTATTCATTGTACATTTCCCTACTCTCATCACAAAGATTTCATAATACACTTATGGATGATCTGATTTATTTCTGCTTAGCAAAGTACTAAACTATTGTGGTCTCTACTAGATTTTTTTTCTTTTTTCTTTTTTTCTCTTTTTAAGTAAGCAAACAGAACTTCAGAATTGCCATACGGTATAGAAATGAGATGGGTGCAGAGTCTCTTAAAGTCAAATTTTGCCTTCTTCTTAGATTTTTTTCTTTTAATTTAGAACCCTGTTAGAATAAATTTATTTTAAAGTATTAATACAGAAATAGTCTCTCTGGGAATGGTTTCTGTGTAGTTCAAAGGTTTACAGAAAATTAATTGAGAAGCAGTCCTCCTATACTTGAAATTTTCACTCTTGGGATTTTTGATGGTCCTCAACACTGCAAAATGAGATTTTTTTTAACTGAAAAGACTCCACTGCTGTGAGTATAGCCTCTTTCCTTCAGCCATATGTAAATGAGTTTCCACTTTCTCATACCAAAGTATAGTAAAAAATCTATCTCAGAATAAGCTATGGAATCATTAAGTTTAGAGAAAGTCTCCTATGGGTGAATTCCTCTGACCCCATCCCCCCATTTTCTTTTTAAAATATTTATTATTTACACTTAATCACCATACATCTTTATAGTGTATAAAACATGTTTTTCACCCAGCATAAATACAGTGCATATCAGTCAAAACAAATACATTGTATCATACATTATCATTGACAATTCATTTCTATGTCAATTAAATGCATTGTTTATTTTTCCCTCTGTTTACCCATATGAGAGAATCTTCAAAACATTCATGGAAAATATATATTATGAACAACTATGTATGGATTTCAAACTCTTTTGGAAACAAAATAAACTAGTACTTTAATTTTGTCCCCCACCCCCACTTTTTTGAAGTCCCCTCATATACCCAAAGATTTACTAGCCCAGGCTATGTTCCTGGTAATCTCTCTAGCACAGTTCCTAGTGCTTGGTAGGCAGTCGCTAAATGTTTGTTCAATTAGTTAAGGAGTGACTGGTAGACAGGAATCTTATCTTATTCACCACTCTTCTTAATCCCTCCACAATTCGTGTGATCCCTGGAACATATAGAGAAGCTGCTCAGTACATGTTTGCTGAGTGAATGAAATGTTCAAGACTTGTGCCCGATGTGGCATTCAGAAGTACGAATATTGTCTTTGCCATTTGAGCATAGAAACCATTTTAAAAAGTATAGGTTGCTTTCAGCAACCAATTGTTTCTTTTTTTTTTTTTTGTTTTTGGAGAGGTTTTCGCTATAGGGCGCATGCGCTCGCCAGACAGACAGAGACATAGAGACAGAAAGCGAGAAATCACCCCCCAGGGGGGATGGTCACGCCGCAATCCCTTCTCCTCCGTTCTCCTCTCGGGATCTTGGGCACGCACGCACACGCGCCCGGCGTGAGATTTAAACCACCGGGTCCGAGACGCGAACTGCGGTCCACTACGTGGGAGTCCAGCGACCCAGCCATTACGCTAACTGCTGGTTCCCCAATTGTTTCTTTTTAAAACAATTCTACTGGGACATAGAATTCTATGTCATTATATTCATGAGTGAGGAAAAAAATAAAACACAAGAAAGACCTTATGTTTAGCAAAACTAAATGCTTTAAGTCATATTTGAAAGTTCGGGAGAATAATGGCCTTGTGAATTATGTTATTAGTGGAAGAGCTTAAGTATGGAATGCTGACTATGGTGGTTGCATTTTTATTCAGACCCTTATTGCTTTCCTTTATACCAGTGAGGCAGATAAACCCGAAAGGGAACAAACTGTTGCAACCCCACGTGTGTCTTTTCAATGTTCCTTAGATTGTGAACGTCGCAGGGGGAGTCTCATTTCTTGACGCGGTTACTTCCATGGATTATTTCCCGGGATTGAATTTGGAAGGCTATCCTAACAGAGACAGTACAAAATACGCTGAGATTTATGGCATTTCATCTGCTCACACTTTGCTGCGGGGAACACTGAGATACAAGGTAAGTGATTGTACTTGCATGCATTCCTTCCTGATGGGGACTGCATTTTTCATTTGTTTGGCCTCACTTACCAGGACAGATCTGACACATGGCAGCAGATCGTTGAATACTTATTGACTACTGACGTCATTTATAAAAAATCATTTATAGAGGTCACCATAAAAATACATTTCTAAGGGACCAGCAGATGGTGTAATGGCTATGTTGCTGGACTCCCATGTAGCCAATTGTGGTTCAAGTCCAGGACCCAGTGGCTTAAACTCATGCTGGGTGCCTGTGTGTGCGTGCCCAAGATCCCGAGAGGAGAATGGAGGAGAAGGGATTGCGGCATGGCCATCCCCCCCAGGGGGGTGATTTCCTGCTTTCTGTCTCTCTGTCTCTCTCTGTCTTTCTGGCGAGCACACAAACCCTATAACAAAAACCTCTCCAAAAAACACAAATTATATATGTATGTGTATATATATATATATATTTCCAAGATTAAAAAAAAGCTCATAAATCACCATTTTATATGTTAGATGAAGTGTTTCCTCATATCAGATCCCTAGAACCTAGAAGCAATCTGAACATTTTTTTTTGTTTTTCCCTTTGAAACATACTTACACCGAATTAGCATACACAAACATGATTTCTTTTATTAGTAACCTTTGAACAGTTTGAATAATATAACCTTTCAGAAATGTGAAAATTACTAGCTGACCATACTTTTAATGGTGAAATCTCTGAAGGCTATAGGAACTATCTTAGATTTTAATGATTCTCTTGTTCTCTAAAATTATTTCCCACACTTTTTCTTCTCTCTCTCTCTACTTGAGCAATAATTGAAGCAGCAGTGAAGTTCTCTATTCCACCCTCCCTCCGGTTTTCACACAGGACAACAAATCATTTCTGTCTTCATTCACGTCATCTGCCATTCAGAATCTATCCAGTTGTTTGTTTTGTTTAGTGGATTGGAATGCCCAGTGATGGGGCGAGAACATGGAGATGAAGAATACACATACACACATAAAAATATATAATATGTAATATAATAAAAACAACTTCCTTGCTGTATATACCTACAGCTCAGCAGCTAAATAAGGAACTGCACTTTGCATTACTTTGATACAGAAATGTACAAAATGCTATGGGAATTTGGAGAAGGGAGTGCCCACTTGCCTCAGAGGCATGCTGAGCTGAGGTTTAAGAGAGGATTAAACATTTCATGGATGAAGAAAAGTGGTTGATATTTCCAAGCACAGGAGCACATGCACAGAAGCCCTGGTCTCTGGAAGAACACTGTGAGGGGTGGAGAAGATGACTGAGAGTAGGGCTGGAGGAACATACTGTTGTGGGTTTTATATAATGTACCAAAGACTTTGGACTTGTCCCATGAACAATGATGGCTACACAAGGAGGTTTTTTTTTTTTTTTTTTTTTTTTTTTTTTTTTTTTATCAGAGTGGTGATATGATCTTAACCACTAGAAAGATATCTCTCTGATTTCTACCTTTTTTCCTACTCTCTATATGCCTCGGGGTAGTGTTTTTTTTTTTTTCTTTAAAGAGTTATTTATTTAATCTTATTTGTTATTATTTTAAAAATTTGTTTTAGGGTATGTACACTCACGAGAGAGACAGATAGAGAGAGAGAAAGTGAGAAAGCAAGCCGCCAAGTCTGGGACTCAAACCACGGTCAGCCATGTGGGAGTCCGGCACCCTAACCACCACACCACCTGCTGACCCCATTAATTGGTAGAATGAATTATTTGCTTTCTTGTGGAGATGAGTATTCACATAAGTTCATCCTTCCATTATATTGGGTTGTTGGAAAAGTCATGATGCATTTTCACATAATAAACATATAGAAATCATCATGACTTTTCAGACAATCCCAAGAAGGAGCACTACTGACTATTTTATTAAATAATATTTTGCTGACTGGACGGTGTATAAAAAAAAATCAAAGAAATTTTCCTTTATACTGCCAGAAAATACTGTTCCTATGTTACACACAAACAGAAGACTCAAGTTTTTCCCGAACTCTTGTATAAGTTATTGAAATGTTTGCAACACTGCTGTCTCAGCTGGGGGCTAGCAGTGGTTGTATCCATATTAGTAATACAAATGACTATTGCAACTTGCTTTTTAAAAAAATAATTATGAAGATCCCTCTTTTCAAAAAAGCTTGAACATTTTTTTCTTTTGAAGAAATAATTTCATATGCTTATTACTTCTTGTTTCAGGGATATGCCAAAGCTTTGAATGGATTCGTAAAACTGGGTCTTATTAATAGAGAAGCATTTCCTGCCCTTCGACCTGAGGCCACTCCTCTCACCTGGGTGAGTGACTCCAGATTATGTGCTGTCCGTTGCTCTTCAGAATGTCTTCTGAAACGGTCAAGAGTGAATTCTGCTTTGAACCTGGAAGGAACCCATTCAGTAGCATATGTGCAGGAAGATAAATCCTGACTCCTAAGTCCCTTTTCCCTTTACTATTATGGGAGGATGAAGAGGGCATGGGACTGACATGCCAAACCTGGTTCCAGCAGCAACTTCTACCACTTAATTACTCTCTGAGCCCTGAGAAGAGATGCACCACTGTCTGCCTTGAGTCCTAGGCGTTTCCAATTGTGACAGCAGAAACTTGGGCCCACTGAAAGTAATAATTCAGGGCAGATGCTGGTGTGTCACAGAACTGGGTTCTCAGCCGCGCATTCCAACAGCCCTCTTATCCGGCCGTTCATATCCATGAAAATGGTTTCAGTGACTGAGTTTATGTCCATATCTGGGTTATATCAAAATCTTAGAGTCTCAGGGTTGGTAAGGGCTTTGGAGGCTTGGAACTGACTGTAAAGGAGAGTTTTAGCTACCTGCCAGAATTTACCTCAATACCAGCTGATAAACCAGTTTAAACTAGTGTGCTCATCTTCCAGCTGTTATGCCAGAACGAGTCAGGGAGAGACTGCTATTGTGAATCCCAGTAAATCTCTTAAAGAAGCCGGGATTCAAGGATTTGCATATCTGTGAGCCATTCCAGTCTAAGTTCTTCTATCATAAACATACCTGATGGACCACAGTGAATATCTGTAGAGTGAATCTGAGATTGAGGTAGATGAGTTGGGAAGGTTGGTGCAGGTGTTCTAGCGTGTCCCAGTATTTTGGTCCTAATAGTCTAAAGCAGGTTTTATTTTTTCTTCTTTTTTTATATAGTAGCAGATTGTAAATATTTTAGGTTTTATGGATCATACAATATGTCAAAATGGCTCAATTCTGCCATTGACATAAACAAATGAGCATGACTGTGTTACAATAAAATTTTTATTTAAAAAAACAGGTGGCAAGCCAAAGTTGTTCTATGAACCATTTTGTTGACCTCCTGATATAGAGCATAGCTTGTGTAGAAAATAGAAAAAACTGTGTGTCTACTGTTACAGTATTTTTCCTTTGAGATTTTATCTGCAAGATTTTTCTCATTTCTTGAACCTACTAAAGAACTCTGGTTGCTACTGGCAACCTCAACAGTAAGCCCTTTCCACTTTATCCTGGTCAAAATTGACAACTGGAGGGTGGGGGAGAGAGAATGGTGAAAACAGTGACAGAGTGATAGACAAAGGCAAGAACTGGTAAATATGATACCATCTGTTAGTATTGAATTGATATCATGACCCATGTGTGCAGACATGTGTATGTGTGTGTGTGTGTGTGTGTGTGTGTTGTAATTTATTTCTAATTATTTATAATGAACATATTTGTGGCACATTTGTGGTCCAATTTCTTAATAGGATCATTTCTCAGTTAATTTACTTTTTATTTTATTAGGAACTTACGATTTTTACCTTTAATTTTCCAACCAGAAAGAACTCCTCTGTGACCTTGTTGGAATTTCACCCTCCTCCAAGCGTGACGTGCTTAAGGAAGCTGTCCTGAAGAAACTAGGAGGAGATACTGCCCAACTGGAAGCTGCCGAAACGTAGGCACCCACCATTCAACTTAGATCTAAAGTTAGAAGAGCAACAATTTTTGGTCCTTTCCAGTCAAAGATCAAGACAGAACCAAACTTTGGTTATTTATCTTTGATTAATTTACTATTCTCACAGTGGACTGTTATAGAGAGATTGATATGTACCATGCTCATGTGGGGATAAAAAGTAGATAGAGGAAAATTCAATGCAGGTATTTATTTTGAAATACTTTACCACTCAGTTTCTGAGCAAGCCAAGTTTTGTTTTCCTATAGGAGATTCTGAGTCTTCCAACTACTTTAAAACATTCATTTACATTTCTCCTATGCATTAGGCTGGTATAGTGTGGGAGAATGAACCTGTAAATGAATCTCATAAAAAGCTTTGGAAAAGAGATTTACAATGCCTCTACCATGCTCCAGCGAGCAGTAATTGAGGGTACCTGGGGGTGATTCTGAAGGTAAAAACATTGTGTTGTTATCTTACAACTTAAGAGAGGCCTATGATTTGGACTCTCATGTCATGAGTCTGCCCCTCCCCCCACTTTTTTTTAGAGGTTTTTGCTATAAGGTGCATGCACTTGCCAGAAAGAGAGAGACAGGGAGACAGAAAGCAAGAAATTACCCCCAGAGGGGATGGCCCCACTGCAATCCCTTCTCCTCCATTCTCCTCTTGGGATCTTGGGCACACATGGACACATGCTGGCATGAGTTTAAATCATTAAATCCAGGACTCAAACCACGGTCAACTCCATGGAGTCGAGCAACATAGCCATTATACCAACTGCTAGTTCAAAGTCTGCCATTTTAAAGTAAAATTCAAGAAGCTCCCTTTCACATGCAGAGGACTTGAACTAATGCAGCCATCTCTTGTGCTTTTCAGGCTGGGCTTACTTGGGGATGAACAAGTCCCTCAAGCAGAGTCCATTGTAGATGCACTGTCCAAGCATTTGGCCAAGAGACTTTCCTATGGTAAGCCAAGAGGAAGAATCAGGGATGGGAGGGTTCAATACGAGGGAAAGGGCATGTGGTTATTTTATCAGAAAAAAAGAATATGAAAGTTATTTTTTCTTCTTTTTTTTTCTAAAGTTATTTTATTTAACTTTACTTATTTATTTATTTATTTATTTTAATTTGACCAGAGAGTGACAGAGTGAGACAGAGAGAGAGAGAGAGAAAGTGAGACTGCCACAACATTCAGAACTCGAAACACCGTCAACCATGTAGGAGTCCACACCCTAAACCACCACCAGAATATGCGAATTATTAAGAGAATTATTATTATATGAGAATTATTACGTAAAAGTGACTGGATAATAAGGGAAAGAAGCATAAATATTAGTTTTACTTCTAATTTTAGTGCATTAGAAACATGCCAAAGAAGCATTTCTGGGAGTAAAGGATGTGGCCTCTGTATCTACAGTAAGGCCCTTGTGTCTATAACCAGGCTATAGTGATATTAAACTGGACAAAAAGATATGATCAGAGTTATAATTTTGTTGATTTTTTGTACTTAGTTTTTGGGCTAAAAAGCAGCACAGGTAATTGCCTAATGACCATATATAATGGGTAGGGAAACTTGTGAGAATAAAGTGACAGGAGAGGGAGATGCAATGCAATATCTGAATTGTAATGAGAGTAGTGTTTTCAAATGTCTTTATTTATTTTAAGGCCCTGAAGAAAAAGATATGATAGTGATGAGAAACAGCTTTGGAATTAGACATCCTTCTGGACATTTGGAAAACAAAATTATTGATCTTATTGTTTACGGGGATGTCAATGGATTTTCAGCAATGGCTAAAACTGTGGGGTTACCGACCGCCATGGCAGCCAAAATGCTGCTCGATGGTAAGTTCTGTTTATTTGAGAAATGCATATAGCCTCCATATCCCAAGTCATTCAGTGCCTGTATATCAACTGATTGCTCTTGAATGTAACACTGGCATTCATTGGAAGTGAACCATCTTAGAAGATCCAAGATGGCTGCCTAGGAGGTCTCTTTGTGAAGAGTAATGAAGATGGGCTTTGCAGGTAGACTGGATTCCCAGGTCAGTTACAAGGTGGCTGAGTGATGGGGTGCAAGTGACTCTGCACCTCTGAGCCAGAGTTTTGTCAAATTTAAAGTAGATATTGTCATCTGAAATTCATAGTTATTGTAACAATTAAGTGAAATAACACGTAAAGCTCCTCCCATAGAGGGGCCCCTTGGGAATATTAACTCCTTCTTTCCTACTTCAGATTTTGCTGTTTTGGTTGTAGTAACTGAAATAGCCAAGGGTATTCAGGTCCAGATCCTCAAGCATATGGAGCATGTTTCAGTAATGTTCTGATCTCTGCATATTATCAGTATACAAAAAATATTTCAAACTAGGCAAATTAAAATCTCAGCTCTTCACTCTTCCCTTAAAAGCATATATATATTCTATAATCATTACTTCTGAATATAATAATACCTCATTTGGCCCTTGTGAAAGAATCGAGAGAGTAAACCAAAGCATATGCAAGTGAAATAATGAGAAAACATATCTACATTTACATCTTCATTAATGTTAAATTAAAGCCTACTTATTTATTGAGGTATCAGACTAAAGAAATGAGAAGAATGGAGTAGTCATGGCTTTATAGAAAAGTGTTCAGACTGACTTTTTCAGCAATGCTAACAAGTGACTGTGCTCAAATAATCAGATTGATTTTACTTCAATCTGTCAATATTATGTCTTTTTTTTCCTCCTCCAAATAACATCAGCAAATGAAGCAGACCAGTTACATTTACTTTTTACTCTTACTGTCTTAGCAGTGATGAAGTTGTGTACAAGTTTTGACACCATCCCTACATCTAGCTGTGCTTTCTATCTAAACTTAACCCTTTTTCCTTACAGAATGCTGACTAAGTAATCATTTAGAAGGAGACATTTAAGCGTCTATCTGAAAAATACCTACGCCTCCAAAAATTCATTGTTTCTGGGTTTCTTGCTATGTGGAGAGTCTTGCTGTCAAAATTACCTTTAGTACCATATTTAAAATGGTAAACATATGTTAATTTTCTCCCAGGTGAAATTGAAGCCAAAGGTCTGATGGGGCCCTTTTCAAAGGAAATCTATGGACCAATACTGGAGAGAATTAAAGCAGAGGGCATTATATATACCACACAGAGCACAATCAGACCATAATTGGGAATTACACTTTATTTTCATCTTCCCAGGCAACACAGCTATGAACATTTGTGTGACAAACGTGCTTGCTAATTTTTCATTTTAATGTCTAAAGCATGATATGTTTTAATTAAGTCAATGTAATTGTGTTTTTGAAATATGAATCTCTTTTGGTATAAAAACATTTGGAATAAGAAATGCCAGTCATTACTAGAGAACTTTAATAATTCTACCACTTTTTTATATGTATGTAAAAGTGATGATGATCATGCCATTTGTTAATTTATTGTCACTTTTTTTCTTACAAGAATGTATTTTCCTATAATCAACAGATGAGTTTTACTTTTTTAGTAAAAAAATTTTCTCATATGGCTATATTTTTGTATTTTAAAAATGGACTCAGTTATATATCTTTCGAGCACCTGACTACAAACCTTTGCAAAAATGTTTCATGCTTTTTTTGTGAAGTTGTGATTGTTTTTAGTAAATTTATTTTCTCATGGGTGTTTGCAAAAGGGAATAAATAAGATTAGTTTACAATACACATGAGCACCTCATTAGCCACAGAAAAAGTATTACTCAAAATCTTACATGCTTTTATGATAAAAGCATGCAACAAACTAAGAATAGAAGGGAAGATCATCCACTTGATAAAGAGCATTTATGAAAACTTACAGGTAACATCATACCTAATGGCGAAAGACTGAATGCTTTTCTAAGATCAGAAGCAAAACAAGGACGTCTGCACTGCCACTTCTATTTCACATATGTAGGAGGTGAAGCCAGTGCAACTGGTCAAGAAAATGAAATAAAACGTATCTATATTGGAAAGGAAGAAGCAAAACTCTATTTTCAGATGTTATGATCTAATGCATATAAATTCAGAAGACATTCAGAGAAAATCCAAAGACATACTATCATAATAGAAAACAAAACATTAGGACTAATAAATGAATTCAACAAAGACACAGGATACAATGTTAATATCAGTAATTATTGTTACATATGGTATCAATAAATAAAAAAAGACATTAAAAAGTTCAGTTTTCAATAACATAGAAAATAATAATATAGCAATAGAATTGATAGTCTAGAAATGATGTTTGCATTTATGGTCATTTGATATTTGAAATGGGTGTTAAGACAATTCAATGGTGGGGAAAAGGGTTTGTTTTATTATTATTTTATAAAATGGTGCTTGGACACCTGGATATCCACATGCAGAATACTAAAGTTGGGGCCAGGTGATGGTGCGGTAGTAATACAGTTGGACCCACATGGGAAAGGTTCTGGATTCACATCCTGGGGCCTCTCTGAGCATGCTGAGTGTGTACGTGTGTGTCTATGATCCAGGCCAGCTGAGACTAAAGGTAAATCATGATGTGAAGACCCTGTTGGGAATGCCTGTCTCCTTTTCTCTCTCTTCATGCACATATACTTTTTTAATGGAAGAGTTACCAAATAACATAAAAATGAAGTTGGACCCCTACCTCATTTTTTTTCTTTTTGGAGAGATTTTCACTGTAGAGCGCGTGTGCTCGCCAGACAGAGAGAGACATAGAGACAGAAAGTGAGAAATCACCCCCCAGGGGGGATGGTCACGCCGCAATCCCTTCTCCTCCATTATCCTCTCAGGATCTTGGGCACGCATGCACACGCGCCCGGCGTGAGTTTTAAGCCACCGGGTCCAGGACACGAACCCGGTCGACTACGTGGGAGGCCAGCGACATAGCCATTACACTAACTGCTGGTTCCCCCTCATTTTACATATAAAAATTAATTCAAAATGGACTTGAGACCCAAACACTGTAATAATATTAGAAAAAAGCATAGCACACATCATCATGACTTTGGATTAGGCAATGGTTTCTTAAATAAAAGACACCCAAGAACCAAAGCAAAAAAAAGAAAAAGATAGGTTAATTGGACATCATCAAAATTAAAACTTTTGTGCTTCCAAGTACACCATGAAGAAAGCAAAAATACAACCCACAGAATGAGAGAATTTTTGTAAGTCTTATATCAGGTAAGGCAAAAACCTGCATGTTGAAATACATAAAGAACTGTTCTAATTTAATTATAAAAAGATAAATAATCTGGGGCCAGCAGGTGACATGGTGACTAAGGCACTGGACTCTCACATGGTCAACTGCAGTTCAAGTCTCAGTTCCAGCAGCTTGAAAATCACTCTGGGCATGTATGCATGCATGCTCAAAATCCTAAGAGGAGAATGGAAGAGAATGAATCGTGGTGCAGCCATCTCCACTGGGGGATGATCTCTCACTTTCTTTCTCTGTCTCTGTCAACCCTCTCCCGCCCAAAATAAATAATCCAATAGAAAACAATAGACATTGGATCTTCATTGATAATTCTCCAAAGAAGATATATAAAAAGTCAGTAAGTACATACAAAGATTCTCGGCATCATTGACCATCAGGAAAATAAACATTAAATCTGCAACAGATTTCATGATATGCTCACTGGAATGGCTATAATAAAAAAAGGTAAAAGTGTTACAGAAGATGTAGAGAAATTTGAACTTTCATGTACTTTGGATACCCAAAGAATGAAAACATGTGTGCACATAAAAAATAATTTGCACACAAATATTCATAGCAGCGTTATATAAAATAGCCCAAACAGAAACAAGCTGTGTTCATCAACTAATAAATAAGCAAGATGTAGTATATTCACAGCATGGAATAGTATTCATAAGTCAAAACAGAACTATGATATGAATGACGACATGAATGAACACTGAAAACATGCTAAGTAAAGAAGACCAGACATAAAAGGCCATATGTTGTATAATTTAATTTACATGAAATGCCTGGAATAGGCAAGTCCATATATGGAGAAGGTAGATTAACGGTTGCTTAAAGCTGAACGGTTTTGAAGGAAAATACAATGACTTATAATGAATATGTGATTTTCTTTTGGAGGGAGTTTGTTAAAATGTAGGTTTGTTTATGTTAATAATGGCATGACTCTGTGAACATACTAAAAACCACTGAATTGTATATTTTCAATGTGTGAATTGTATGGTATGTAAATGTATCTCAAGTTTGTTATAGAGAAGACTGAATTACAAATAATATTGTGTTTATTTTTTTTGCAAAAATCTTTGGCCTTTTAGAGATGTGCACCAAGTACTTGTTTGACCTTCATGAACTATGTTCACATCCTAGAGTATGAATTTTTTCCTTGAAATAAATTGGTACTACATGTTGGGTTGTGACCGCTGAGAAAATATCTCATATGCTATTTGAAAAAATAAAAATTGATGAAGGTCTGGTCCCACCTGCCATAAATAACATATGGTGATTATAATCTATTAATAAATAAAGACATCTTTGTTATGGAATTTGTTAGACCACAGGACTGAGTTCAACAGAATCAGTTAGGAAATAGCGTTTCCACTGCCAATCTGGAAGAGTAACTAGATTCTTTGGGATCTGGGAAACTAGGATGAAGGAAACTTGAGCTCCCAATGTAAGGAACTAGTTTGGGCTTTATGATATTAATGAGTTATAAAGGGGATGTGACTGAAGAGCTGATTTAATGTCAGTGTTAGTGGTGGGGATAGCAAAGGAAATGTCAGGAAGTTTGAATAACATAGATGTAGTCAAACACTGCATCGGCTCTTAATTACTAATTTTTCTGTAGACATTTCAGTAATAAAGATGGTGGTGGTAGCGTGTGGAGATGAATAGGTGGGCTATAGTTAAAAGCATATGGAGTCAGCAATTTCATTTTTTTCTGTAAAAGGTCAGCTAAACATTCTAGTCTTTTACACCCAAAATGCTACAACTGCTCATTTCTGCCTTTCTAGTATATAAATAACCATTAACAGTATATAAACAAATGGGAATGACTGTAGTCCAATAAAATGTTGCTTAGAAAAATGTCATGGGCAGATGGTATTCAAGCAGTTGCTTATGGACTCCTACTCTAACCATTCCAGATAATTTCTACTCTTTTGGCCTCTTTCAGACACTATCTGCATATATCTTGTCCAGTACTCTTTGTTAGAGACTCTGAGACATCAGATTACCCTAAATTTAGCATGGTAGCATCTACAACCCACTAACTGTTTCCTTTCCCCATAATGCACGGGATGGTTATAAAGGTTAATAAGGGAGTGTAAGTGAAATGCCTACTACCTAGTGATAGTGAAGCACTTCAGTGTTCTTTCTTCTTTTCCAATAACATTTTTGTCTAAGATTTATGTTAAAGTTAACGAGGCTTTCACTTTGAGATTTATTTCAGGTTTTTGGATACTTTTAGAAGACTTCTCAGAGATCCATGCTGCTTGAATAAGCCACAGATTATTAGGTTGTTGGGAAAGTCACGATGTGGTTTCTATGCGAAAATGTGCCATGACTTTCCTGACAACCCAATATTTGCTCCTTAACAAGAAACTTAAAGTGGTTGTAAAAGTGGGAAGGACTACACAGGCTTTTGGCCAAGTCTCTGGCTTTACAGAAGACAAAATGTATCTCAAAAAGTTAAATGATTTGCATAGGGTGATAAGACTTAATATTGAAATTTGATTATCACTTAAGACTCCCAAATTACTTCATTAAATTTGGGAGAATCTGATTTATAAAATATCTTTTAAGATGAGTTACTCATTAAGATTACCATTTGCTCTTTAGAGAACTACAGAGAGGAATTACTATATCTTCTTTTTTTATTTTTTAAAGAGAGTTTTTTTTTTGTTTGTTTTAAGATACATGCACTTGCTGGAGAGAGAGAGAGAGAGAGAGAGAGAGAGAGAAACAGTGAGAGGGAAAGTGAGAAATCACCCCCTAAGAGGGATAACCACACCACAACCCCTTCTCTTCCATTCTCCTCCTAGGATCTTGGGTATACATACATACATGCCTGATGTGAGTCTCAAGCCACCTGGTCTGTGTCTTGTACCATGGTTAGCCATGTGGGAATCCAGTGATGTAATGCTATCTGGGGCTCCAAGGTATTCTTTCTTTAAGATACTTCTGTTAGGGAACCAGCAGTTAGCGTAATGGCTATGTTGCTGGACTCCCAAGTAGTTGACGGAGGTTCACGTCCCAGAGTAGGTGGCTTAAAACTCACGCCAGGCATGTGTACGTGCGTGCCCAAGATCCCGAGAGGAGAATGGAGGAGAAGGGATTGTGGTGTGACCATGCCCCCTGGGGGGTGATTTCTCGCTTTCTGTCTCTATGTCTCTGTCTGGCAAGTGCACGCGCCCTATAGCGAAAATCTCTCCCCCCCCAAAAAAAAGATACTTCTGTTAGAAAAACTGTCCCCAAATATTTACTATCTTCCGATGGAAAGTTGTGGTGATAAGTATAGAAATATTCAATGTCTACGCATTAGCTCCTTCTTAGACTACACAGTTTGAACAACGGTGCAAAGTAGCTAATTTCGTTCTTACATTTTGTATATTATAGTATTCACGTTGTATTTGTCGGTTGTCTGCAATAGAACTACATTTACCAGACCTGAATTCACTGGAAAGAATCCAGTGAGAAAATTTATTGACAGCGAATCTAATAACTTCCTTTTCCCAATTGTTTTAGTACTAATATACATCGTTAAATTTTAGTTAGCACGAACTATAATGTGCTAAGTTAGGAAGCCATACCCATCTGGTTTAAGTTGTTAGTGTAGAGAAATAGGTTTCTAGTGCCTTCCAGTGTCATGTTGATAGACAGTGTGTCCCACATCACTGAATAACAAATTCATAAACCCTGGGAATCCCACTCCCAGCCTGAGAACCTCAGAAGATGCACTGATACTGTGCTTGTCTTTATTTGATTGATGATGACTCTGGGCTATTGCCAGGCACAACTAACCAGGCACTTGGCTCTGGTAATCTGAATTCGTTCCTTCTCAGCCTGGTTCATGGTGAAGCTGGCAGAGTAGAACGAATCCCCCACAGAAACCTGATAATCCCAATAAAGAAAAACCATGCTTGCTATATTAACAAACTATTGATCAAAGAAGATTCTTTGTTTAAGCTGAGAGAAATAATTAAAAGGAGGTAGAAGTCAAATGGAAGCTGGCAGATAAAAGAAACTGGAAGAGGTGTTGTAAAACAAGAGGAAGCCCGAGAGAAAAGATGAGAGAGTGACAACTCACAGGGGCAGGGATTGTTAAAATATATTCATGATTCTAAAATAACAAACATATTTGGCTGGCACGGTGATTCTATTTAACTTCCAGACTATGAAATTTGAGATTAAAATTTGG